AGGGCAAAGGAAATTTGACACATGGTAGGCATAAGCAGGCTGCAGCAAACTTCAAACAGCACACAATAAGTAGCATACAGAATATTTTCCTAGAAATGTATGATGAAGAAAGGAGGTGGGCCAGTCATATGGTAAAAGCAAGAGGCACTGACCTGGTACGATCCCCCCACCAAAAAAAAACAACACAACAGAGGAAGGTTTCTACCCCAGTGGGCAGATTTTCTTGAAGGATTTGCTGGAGAACACGTACAAGAATGGCACAGGACAAGAAGGCAGGCCTGGGTGGCAATTTGCACCAATGGGTCAAATACTTATATCACTAGGTTCACTGTACCAATGAAGGTCTAATCTGTCACAGCTGATATATGTGGCTGCTTATGGTTTAGGACTAAAAATCAACTAGTGTCTCACTGAGCATGCCTAGCGTAAAATGGCATCCTTATGAGATACTATAAAAACAAATATAAGAAATCCTTTCCAGACAAAGCAAGCAATATAAACTAATAATAGAAAGCTCTTGCCCTCAGGGAGTTTCTCATCTAATAACTATATCATACAAATAAGTAAAACATAAAACAGAATGTGCTAAGAAAAGGGGGAAAGGGTACAAGTATTCATTAAGCACCTACTATGTGCCAGGCACTGTGTTAGGTGCTTTACAACTACTGACTCATCCTCACAACTCTGCAAGGTAGGTGCTAATGTTATCTCTGTTTTGCAGTTGAGAACACTGAGGCAAACAGGCTTAAGTGATTTGCCCAGGGTCACATGGCTATTAAATGTTTGAGGCTGGATTTGAGAGTGATTACTTCCATACATGAAGAAAGTGACAAGTGAGTCTTCACTAGATGGAGTGTGCAACGAAGGAAGCGTTGGAAGGAGACCGGGAACAATGCACAGAATCAGGAGAGGGCAGGAAGAGACCCAGAGGCAGCAAGGGTCTGGATCAGCCATAACTGAGTCTGTGAAGGGGAACGGCAGGAAATAAGGCTCAAAGGGAAGTGCACGTGGGTTGAAGTACAGAGCCTTCCTGCTGAGAGGGTCAATACAGCTCATGTATTGGTACCTTGATACTAGATCCTATAATCAGTTTATTCATTCAACAAGTACTTCCTGTCACCTACTAAGCAGGATGAACACCAACTTCTTTCTTTGCATTTGTTCAATAAATATGCAGCTGCTCTGTCTGTGATCTACCATGCAGTCCAAGACGGTAATATCTGGCTTCTGCCAAATGTTAATATTCTATCCAGGTTTTCATAGGCAAATTGCACGCTTCACTTCAAAAAAATTCTTCTATGTTGCACTGTTATGTTTGGATCTCAAAAAGTTCATAGAAGAATTAGAAAAACAACTATCAGATTTCTCAAGAGCCTGGAGCCACGTGAACTCCACCAAGAGACATTTCAGATTCCAATGAAACCCAATTTATCCGAACCCTTCAGTGGGATTAGAGATGATAACAAAGAAATGAATATTGCCTCACTAAGAATTCACTGCCTAAACGCTTCTCCTAGCAAGCACTGACACCCTATGCCTGCCTGCCTGCCAGCAAAGTCTCTCAATCAGAGGCCTATGAGCACATTTTAAAACAAAGCCCTACAATGAGATTTCACCATTCAAGGAACTTTTCCACCTGCGGCCAGACTGAAAGGCTCCATTTTTCCATGGTCCAACTCTTGTGGGAGTGAGCTACCAACATCAACTTCATAAGTCTCGATACATTTACATTGGTCACAATATATTTTACTGCTTCTGAGAAGACTTGAGAAAGATGTCTGGACATCAAACAGACCCAATGAAAGGCTGACTAAAATGGGACACATCTAATATACTTGAAAAGACCAATATTCTATAATGCACAAACATGCTATTACAGAGCTACCAGATGTCATTTCTGCCCTGAACGGTTTCCCTCCTCTTCACAAAGCTGTTCTTACCATCAGAAAATGAGAGCTCTAAAGAAAAGATGAAGTGTGCACCCACTTTTATACGGCAACAGAACCAGCCCCATCTAATAGAAAAACAATAGCATTTCCCATCAGAAAACCTAGTTTTCATTCCAGGCTTCACTTCTTACTAGATAAATGTTAGTAGGCCAGTCTTATAACACTCCAGTCCCTACATCCTGCAGAGTGACACTAAGAAAAGCACACAGAAAATTGTAAAATGCCATATACAAATGTGAAATATCGTTAAGTAGAACTCTGGCATCTAATTTATTTAATGAATTCTTTAAAAATAGGGTCAAATGATCACAGTGCTCATAACTACTGTCATGAAAAACAATGATGACTCCTAAAACATGGGCATTTCTTAAAGGATGTGGGCACAGGGCAGAATAGGAGAAGGGAAGAGCAGAAGACAAGCGTCACTGAGGGCTGCGGAGCACAAATCTGGATTTCAAAGGAAGTTGACAGAGACAGCTTCAGGACGAGCTAGACTCAAGGCAAAAGCCAGTTTTCTACAAATGTTAAACTGTGAGGTTGTATGGTGGCTGTCTTATACTATGTCTTTTTAGAAAAAAAATTGGAAAGCCATCATGACTTTGAAAATGCCAGTATTTGGCACATAGAAACTAAGTTTAATATTTCTCATGATAAAAATACAGTTGTACCATGTATCATCACAGGCATGGGAACCTTCATCACAAATGCCACCTTATGGCATTTTTGACTTTTCCAAACCACTTTCACATTTATTTCATTATCTCCCCAGTCTCCAACTCTAGAAAGTATGAAAAGCAGGCATTTTCCCTATTTAACATATGAATGAAATGAAAAGTTACAAGACCATCGCTAAGTAACTATGCAACCTTAGGAAAGAGTCAGCATTACTGCTGCTACTGTCTCCACATACATGGTCTGATGCCGTTACTCAAGAAATAGTGTGGTGTAATGTGTAAATATCTGGCTTCAGAATCAGGAAGACCTGGGTTCAAGTCCTCTCACATATACCAGCTGTGTGACTCTGGGCAGGTCACTGAGGACTGCGTTTCGGAGCAACTACCGAAGTGTATGGGTAAGCAAGCCCCCCACACTGATGAAATCAAACAAAGGTCCAATCAAAAAAATAAATACAGTTACAAAGCACTGCCAACATGCAAACTCACTTGGCTGCAGGCTTGGGCTTCCATCACTGCCTGATCATCCGGTGACAAGTCCATAGCATCATTTCATAACAGATGCAGGGACTCCAGTGTCTCTCAAGCCTTGACCCATCCACTTTCCCCCAGGCCACAACAACAACTCCGGGGCCATTCATGGGCAGTCTGATCACAAGACTCGGCCTCTGCTGACCAACTGTGCCCCAGGTGGAGGCACTGGGATGCCTGCGAGGCCTAGGCCAAGCCAAGGCCTCCTTAGTCTTAGAGCATCCAGCAGCTGCTTCTTTTGATCCCTCCTCTCACTTCATTTTTAGACATGACAGTGACAGATAACAAGTAGAATTTTGGATCAAATCAATAACTTGTTAGAAAACTTGACAACGGCTCGGAGCTACAGAGAGACACACTTCAATTCAGTCTAAGGAGAAATTTCCTAACAATTACAGTTGCCCAAAAGCTGACTGGGCTGTCTTGGGTAGTGATGAGTTCCCCATCATGAGAGGGCTTCAAGCAAAGGTTTAGACAACCACTTGAGAAAGCTGCTATAGGGGCGATCCCCACACTGGCACAAGTAGACCAGCCGCCTTCTCAGTTCAACCAACTGACAAGTATTTATTAAATTCCACGACAGGGAAATCACTCCAATGAATGGACAATCTTGTGTCTGAGGAGCTGATGTTCCAACAGAGAAGCCAAGAACCTATCAAAGTACAGGAGAGAAGAGACTCGGGAGAGGGACCAGAATGACCACAGGGCTGCAGGAAGCTCCCGAGAGGAACTCCTCCACCAAGGTAGGCAGGCGCCATCTCTGCAGCAAGGACTCCCAGGAAGCAGCCCAGGTGACTTGCCCAGAGTGACCCAGGCAGTATGTCAGATGCAGGACCTGAACCCAGGTCTCCCTGGCTCCGAGGGAGGCCAAACTGCTTGCTGTTTATAAGGACATGCCAACTATAAAGAAAATAAAACACACACAAGTATTGAGGAATATAGCAACAGGGTGGTGTGAAAAGGGAGGGAGGGAGAGAGGGCACAAACAGCGTGGGGAGAGGACGTGGGGTGGCTTCATACAGAAGGTGGTGACTGAGCTTTGTCTTAGCAGAGGAGGAGGCCGAGGAGAGCACGTGGCATCCTAGGAATCAAGGTGAGGGCCAAAGCCAAGGCCTGCAAACTGACAGAAGGTGGCCTGTCGAGGGTGAGGACCAGGGAGAAGGCCAGGTGGCCCCAACCTTGCTCCACATTGCCTCTCTGCATCTCTACCTTGGCAAGGCCAAGCTGGCTCCTTCTGCTCCCCAAATGCAGCATGAGGCCTCCTGTCCCCAAGCCTCTGCACTGGCTGTCTCCTGTGCCTCGAGCACACACTCTATCTAGCCTCCTGCGGTCCTCAGTTTCCTCATCTATAAAATAAAAAGGTTGAACCCCATGATTTCTAAAGCTCCCCCTGGCACTGAGACTGTGTTAACTCTGTGGAATCTTCCTCTAATTCATACCACTTTACTGCTTTCATTTGATGTACAAAAAAGATTTTTTTACAGAGAAGAGGCTGCACAACTAAAATGACTAAGCTTTCTGGCTGGTGAACAAGGATGGAAAGTAAAGAGGAATGCTGGCAAAATCCCCACAGCTTCTTAGGAATGAGAATGATCTTGCATTTACGCAACCAGGGAAGGGTCACAAAACCTCTCCTTCTCTCACAATAAACATGATTATTCCCATTTTATAGAGGAGGAAGCTGAGGCCCAGAGAGGAGCAGCAACATGCCCATGTTCACACAGCTGCTAAGCGTCAGCAGCCAGACTTGCACTCAGGCTTCTTGGCTCCAAGCCCTGTGCCTTTTCCACTGCCCCCGGGCATTCAATTTCAGCTCTGACGTAGCTGGAAAACACGCAAGACTCACTTGATGTCAGTGCCCCACTGCTTTAGGGAAAAATTGCTGGAACTTGGATGAGCCGGGGCTGGCTGGCTGGCGGCCTGTTCTCCCACCAGCTCTCCAGGGGCAGCTTCCACAGAAAGGACGTTTCTGGCTTTCTCTGCAGAGGCATTTGGAGGCAGGAGAATTACATCTGAAAGAAAATGAACACCCATGTCAGTCAGCCTTGGCTTTCCCCTCTGAACTTAAGTTCAGAACTTGTGGATTTACTATCCATGGACAGCTTTTGGCATTCTTTCCATAGGCTCTGAAGTAGGTTTTCTCTATTGAAAAGGGGAAGAGCGATTGTATTAACAAAAATGTGCCATTTTCTGAGCTTTTCAGAGTATTATGAAATGTTTCCCAGGGATGTTAGCGCAAACTACCAAATAAGGCCATCAACGACAGATGAAGATTCCAAGTTCACTTCCATGACACACTGTCACTGAAATATACCACTGACCACTTACCACAGTCCTACCCTAACTGAATACAATTGTCCGATTTTATAGAAAGTAGAACAGAATGCTTTTTTTTCAAGAGGAAAGTCAGTTAACACTGAATACACTGTCAAACTTCAGCATGTACTGTCTCTAAAATAAAACTTCTGCCAAAATGTCTCCATTTACAAGCCAAAAAAAATTATGAAGATTCTTCCAGATGAAATATCCACAGGGAAAATACGTCATTTAAATTTAGCAATAAAATGTGTCAAACTAATCCATGTGCCATCTTTGTATCAGCAGCATTCAATCTGGGAATGTACTTATTCTTTGGTTCAAGAAAGAAAAAGAGTAACCAAGAAGCACCCCTTAAAGCAGACTTCCCAGAATGTGAGGAATTCCCCACCTCGAGGGTGCAGGGGCATGACGAGCTCTAGAGGCACTAGGAAGCCAGGGCCAAAACAACTGGATATTCTGAGTCCAACTTTCACATAAATAGAATAACTTTTTTCAATGAAAACAAAGTTCAAATCAAAAAGCAAGATTAACCCAGTGAATTCAATCCGACTGATAATGAAAGCAGTACAGTGATTATATAGTAAAGCATGTAAAAATAAGATCAGATTTAAATCGCTGTGTATCCAACACCTATACTGGCACAGTCTGCCGCCATCACTATTGTCTGACTTGGGCTCTGGACATAGATAAGTTGTGTCATTAAACAGCTTTAAACAATCTTTGTGTGTTTATTATAAGCACCATAATATTTGCAACCTTTCTCAACATCATTCATTTTGGAAAGCATAATATAATTTCCCCCAAAATATAAGCAATTAAAATACTTAAGAACAGTTATAGAGAATCATTTGAAGTTTTCAACAACTGAACTTAAATTTGACTGTCTTCAATTTTATATTATCTAATTTTTAATAACTAAAATAATATCCCTTAATGATAAATATATAACTGATTTGAGGAAAAATTCACTGAAGCAGCTAAGACTAGTATAAGCAAATGCAACAGAGATAGTTTAAGTAGCAGAAATACAAAATAAAAAATCCAAATCCAGAAAATAAGATCCACTATATTGCTCAATGAGATTCATAAGTATTATTAATTAGGAAGAAGAAAGTCCACTGGACTTGCTTTGTATGAATGCTATAGCTGCAGATAGCACGGAACCTAAAAAACTGATACATCTTGTCAATGGCAGGATGAGAATTTTTCCAGAGAAAAGAAGATGCTTCTAATAAACAAAACCAAATGTTTTTAGCCTCATTTATTAGAAATAATAGTGCTAATTTTAACTACTGAGATGATCAAAACAATGCTTGGCATATCCTATGCAAAACAGCTTTGAGTGATTCCACCTGCAAATAATATAACTGGAAGGAGAATAGCCCTTATGTCTGAAGTCCTTTGTAATCAATTAACAGAGAAACTAAAATGTTCAGATTTTGTTTTTTGAATGGATGAAGCAAGAGATGCAGTTAAAGATGTTCATTTGATTCTATGGGTATATGTTAGTGAAACTGATATTAGAGAAGACTTGGTATTTTGCAAAAACTATTTTCAATAAAATTGGTGGATTTCTTTAATGAAGATGTGGGAGAACTGTATCAGATTCTGCACTGACATAGTTCTATCAAGGTCAAGACGAAAGCAGGTCTATAATATAAGGACAAGAAAAAAAAATGTGGTGCCTCCTGTAATTTAACCACATGTCATGCTTCACAGACAAGCAATTGTACTGAGAAATATGAAGAGGTCCACACTTACAGAAAATGAGAACTACATGCAATTTTTCAAGTTACAAAAAAAGTATCAACTTTTTATGTTAGCACAAGAGTAATCAACTTTTTAAAATAAATTAAAAGGAAAGCTCTGTAAAGTTATGATAGCATAGGGACAGAGAATAGGACAAATATACTATTGTAAAACACTCTGACTTTCTTGTGCCAAAGCACTCTGAAAGGTATTAGAACTAAAAAAAAATAAATATCTGTTTTTCTTCATGGTAAGTTAAAGCAAATTCATTTTATAATAAACATTTTCACCTTAAAATTTGTTATGTGGTAAATATTTTTTAAAAATTGGATACTCTAAATTACCAACTGAGGTCTTCAAATTCATGGTCTGATCCAGAAAAACAAAGTGACAAAATGTGTGAAAAATTATAAATAATGAATTTAACAATTTTTCAAAATTTCTCAATTTTAAAAAGACTTGTTCTGCAAATGAAATAGGAGAAAGTAAAGACCTTCTTTAATTACCTGCCTGGTCTATACAGAAGTCATTCCCATTTTACTCTAAAGGCCTAGATATTTCTAAATATTAATGTATACACTCAAATGGAGCTGCTCCACCCAACAACAGAGCTCACAATCCATCCATGATCGTCCATCCTGCGTGACTTATCTGTGTTCTCCCAAAGGTTTACCACCAAAGACACTACACGTTTTCCTTCTTTTCTCCCAACATGTAAAGGATCCGGTGGAGCCCTCCGGCAATTCACCTTTCACGAGTAGCCCATCTCCTTTTCCTGTCCTACAACTTCCTGTGGCATCCTTCATTCCTGGTCCTCTTTGGAGTTTCTCACTGTTCATGTGCTCTCCCCTCACCCCCACGCACCCTTCTTTTGCTCACCATGTGATACTTATCTTTGGTTCTTTGAAAGCAGGGGTGTCCCACATTTCTTTGCCACACAGCAACACTAATAAATTGTTAGTATTGAAAAGACAGGTCTTTGCTTTCATCGGATGCTTGGGGCCAGTAAAAGAACTTTACAATTTATTTCCTGAAGGCAACCTAGCCCATCTTCAGTTTCAAATCTGGAATCTATCTGTACTATCTGTCCCAAATATATGTACTATTGGACGATCTCCATAAGGATGGATAGAAACTCTGCCACAGATTGATATGGAACATTTTATCTTACTTTAACTGAACAAGAAGAGAATGTCTTGTGCTAATACATTGAAACAAGAATTTGAACTGGAAACTCTTCTGGTTTGGCTAACAGTCAAAAAGTTCTCTGGTTTATCAAATAAGCAGTTCGAATTTTGCTACCATTTGGACATCCTGTCTGCATGAGCCAGGATTTTCTGTTGTAATTATTATAAAGGTAAAATATCTATCCCAATTAGTGTTTAAAAAAGAATTATGAGTAGCCATATTAATGATGACCCATTTTAAGGAACTTTGTACCCCAAAACCACCATCCTTCATATTTATAATACTATTGTGGTTATGATTTTTATGTTGTAAATATGAAAACTATAAAGGATTTTTATCAATAGACATATGTGTAAGTTACAGTATATTTAAAGTTTGTTATAAAAACAGTCATAAAAATTGCAAAGATTATAATAAAAAAAGTGGAAAGGAAAAGGGTCTATCAGTATCAAATCTCAAACTATACTACAAAGCAGCAATTATTAAAAAAAAAACACAACAATTTGTTACTGGTTGAAAGTAGAGAATTTGATCAGTAGAGAAAGAAGGTACCTGATGTACAGAAAAGCAAATGAGCAGGGTATCTAATGTTCAATAAACCCAAATACCACAGTTACTGGAATAAAGACCTGCTATTGACCAAAATTCCTGGGAAAACTGAAAAGCAATTAGGTAAAAGAACTGACCAACATCTCACATTAACACCAAGATAAACTCCAAAAGGATATAAAACTTAGCCAGAAAAGATAGTCTCATGAGCAAATTAGAGGAGCAAGAAAGAAATAAACTTACACACCTACGGATGAGGGAAGAGCTCATGATTCACAAACAACAGAGAGAATCACAGGAAATAAAACCGATGATTTTGCTTAAATAAAATTTACAAGATATTGCAATGCTTTTAAAATTAGAAGGGAGACAGGTAAATGGGAAAATATCTTTGCAGCAAGTTTCTCTGATAAAGGACTCATCTCCAAAGATAAATAAGGAACTGATTCAAATTTACGAATAAGAGCTATTCCTCAACAGATAAATGTCAAAGGATATGACCAAGTAAAGGAAAAAAATCTAATTTACCAAAAGCCATATTAAAAATGCTCCAAGTCACTAATAATAAGAAATATCCAAATTAAAGCAACTCATATCCCAGATGGACAAAGATGACAAAAGAGGAAAATGATAAATGTTGTAAGTCTACAGGAAAACAAGAACACGTGCACCTTCGGTGGAACTAAGAATTGACTTAGCCATTCTAGAAAGCAATTTGGAACAATGCCCAAAAAATTATCAAGCTGTCCATACCCTTTGATCCAGAAATCCCACTACTAGGTCTATACTCCAAAGAGATCAAAGAAACATGAAAAGAACCGACATGTACTAAATTTTTTATAGTAGCTCTTTGTAAAATAGCAATAAACTGGAAACTAAAGGGTGGCTTGCTATTGCGGAATGGCTAAACAAATTACAGTATGTGAATGTAATGGAATATTATTTTCCACCAGAAATTTTTAAATGGACAATTTCAGAAAAAACTGCAACCCTGTAAATTGATGCAGAGTGAAGTGAGCAGAAATAAAACAATGTATACAGACATTACGGAGAAAAACAACTTTGAAAGACTTCAGAACTCTAATCAACGCAATAATTAAATCACAAATCCAAAGGATTGAATGAAGATAAAACAGACCATCTACCTACCAACTAGAAGTAATGGACTTAAAATGCAGAATGAGACAAATTTTTGAACATGACAATG